CTCCTGTTTTTTGCTGACACTTATCATTCTTAAATGATTTTTTTTTTTGCCCTTAGAGCCACTGAATTGTTGTTTCCTGGTTCCTTGTTATTTTTAAGAGATCTTCTGTTTCACAATTGCTAGCTGCCATCGTGTTTTCAAGTTCTGAAAGTCTATCTTCAGTTTCTTTCAGGTGGTTTTCCAGCTTTCAGTGGAGTTTTTAATTTCTTGGATATCTCTCTTTGAGTCTGTTTCATGCATTCCGATTCTTCTCTCTATTGTTCATTCAAGGTTTCCCTCATTTCCCTATGTGCCTCATTTTTGTTTTTTTATGTCTTCCTTAGATATGCTCAGCAACGTATTTGTCATTACTTCTTTTACCTAAGATATTTTTTCTGATTGATTTATTTTGCAGTCTCCCTAAATTAGTTTCTTTACTTCAGTTGCCATCATTCGAGAAATTTCAGGCAACTTCCACTTTCTTCCATGTCCATATCTCTTGGACTTATTCTGTTTGGGCTGGAGGCCAGAGATTGCCTATTGCTCCTTCATCTTGACATTTTCCTGGGTTCCTCCAGACAAGAAGGTTGTAGGGTCCCAGGCACTTTCCATGTTGGCTTCCCATCCCACAGTGTAGGGGAAGGGGTCAGGCATGTGAGTTTCTTCTAACCCAGGTTCTGCAGGTGGACGTGGCGTATGGGGCAAGCTTCACCAGACACTCAAGGCTTCTCCAAGATATAGCTGGCTAGTTCTCCTAGCCTACCTCTGGGTACCTACAGGAGAGTCCCTGTTGCCCTGCATGCACATGGGGGCTGGCCTGGCTTCTTCCCACATTTCTTATGTGGGTGCTGAATGAATTAATCAGTATGAGGGCAACGGGGTTAGGCTCCTGCCTCAAAATTGTAAAGAAGGACTAGCGATGAGTTAAAGGCCCTGAATACAATCCCTACAGAAAAAAGAAAAAGCTTCTTGGTAAATGTGGGATACAGGCTTATCCTATATGCTTTGAAACCTCTTCTGTCCTCTGAGAATTCAGGGACAGCAACCATCAGCTTGGCCTATCTTGTGCCATAGTGTGATCTGGGGAAAGTATCTCTTTTCACTACAGTGGGTGCACAGCCAGGGCCTGGAGCTGTCCAAGGGGTGACATGGGGGTCTCTCTCTCCAGGAGCCTGGGCTGCACTGTGGTGGAGATGCTGACAGAGAAACCACCGTGGGCAGAGTATGAAGCAATGGCTGCCATTTTCAAGATTGCCACCCAGCCTACCAACCCTCAGCTGCCTTCTCACATCTCTGAACATGGCCGGGACTTCCTGAGACGCATTTTTGTGGAGGCTCATCAGAGACCTTCAGCTGAGGAGCTGCTCACACACCACTTTGCACAGCTTGTGTACTGAGCTCTCAAGGCCATGCTGCTGCTGGCCACTCCTGCTGCATGGGCAAGGCGCTGCTGTGGGGCTCAGCAAATTCGCTGCTTCTCCCAGGCAAAGCTGTGGACCAGGGAGCTGCAGTCCAGCCAGCATTTGCCTGTGCCCCTTGTGCCAGTGGAGCTCAGAGCCAGATGGGATATCTGTAGCCTCAAGGACTGGGAGACCCCAGCCTACCAGACCTAAGCTCTGGCACCCCCAAGTTCAGTGTGGAGGGGAAGGGCTGGGAACAGTGTGCAAGGCAGCAGTGGGCCCACCCTTGGGATGTGTCCTGCAGTCTGTGCTGAAGCCCAGGGGGTCTGTGGCACAGGACTGACACAGGGTTTGAATAGTGTTATTTTCATTCAGAATGTTATAGTGTCTCCTCCCAGTGTCTGGCAACCACCAGAGTGTCTGTGGCTGGCAGAGCCCACTCAAGCCTAAGGTAAAGCCCAGCATCCCCAACCCCTGGAAGGCAGAGGCACAGGCTACCCTCTCTTACGGAGCCCCAGGTCAGCCTTGCCAGTCCTTGTTCTTTACCAAAGATGAAGCAAATGTTATGCTGCCTTATTCAGGGAAGAAGGAGCCTGTGCTGCCTGCCCCCACGACCTTGCATCCTCAAGCAGAGGCCTGAGATGTGTAACTGCTCCCCTGAGCGGGGAGACCCAGTTTTGTCAATGCAATTGTCTCTGTTTTACAAGTTGGAGTCACTCGCTGTACCCGGTTTCTAAACTGGAGACTTGTGTGTCCCCTGGGCTCTTGAGTATCCCAGTGTGGGCTTGGGCCTTGGGCTTTCCTGGAAAGAGCTGCCGGGGTAGCCTTTGGGCTCCTGGCCTAACATTCATCGCCCTACTGAAGCAGAAAAGGTAGACAACTCTGCGAGGGCATCTGGCCAGCTGGGTGCAAGCCTGACCCAGCTGTTCAGGAGAGCCCCAGCAGTTGTCTTCGGCTGTGTGAGTCATGACCCTGCCAGGCCAGAGCCCACTCCACCTGGTACAAGGGAAAGCCTATGTGCTGCCACCAACTGTCCAGAACCAGCAGCTCTCTTTAGCCCACCTTGCCTGGCCTAGTGAGGTCTCAGTCTCTTCCCTTCTTGTACCTCCCATGTGAGAGGAATGGCAAGTGATCGGGGAAACAGGATCTCCAAGCAGCTTAGAGTTGGCCATATTTACCTCAGCCTGGGCGCTGGTCCTCCATGCCTCCTTCCAAAATGTGCCTATTGCTAGAGCTCCTCCCTCCCAATGCCCAGTTTCCTTGGGAGTTGTCATTAATGGGGGGGGCAGTGCCCAGGGATGGGCATCTCCAGGGAGCTGGGGATTAGTGCCAGGCAGCTCGTTGCCAGCCATGCCCACTTCCCCACGGGCACAGAACAAGCCAAAGCCTTCGTTGTATGTTGACGATGCACTTTTATGAATGTAGTTTCTATCGCTGTTTTTAGCCTTTTCACATCATGTAATGTGAGGCCTTGTACTTGTTAATTTATATCTCAGATCATATTTGATGGTTTTTATATATATATCAGTTGTAGACTGTTACAGGTGATGGACGCCTCAAGAGAGAAGAGAACAATGAAAGCAGCTGGTTTTGCAGAAATGTGTGCTGCATGGTGCCAACTGGGCCTGGGCCCCTTTGTGCCACCCCTTTTTACCAGGGGACTCTGTCAAGCCACCTTCCACAGGCGGTTGTCCCGAGGCCAGCAAACGCATGCTCCTGCCTCCCATCCTGGCCCTTGCCCAGGGTGGGGACCAGCCATCATCTCGACCTAAGCTGCCAAGCAGCAGCTCAGCCTCTCTGTGACCCCATCCTAATGGCCATAGCCTTCCCTGGCCCTCACCCTGTCCCTAGTGTCTCCCATCCCCACCCCCCACGTGGAAACAGCATGGTGTCGCTGACAAGATGACTGTGTCCCAGGTCCAGGCTCTCACAGAGCCCCACTTCCAGGGTCTTACCTCACAGGGAACATTTTGAAAATGAATTTAAAAACAAGCCAACAAATCTTGGAACTCCAAAAAAAAACAAAAAATGACTCATTTTTGTGCCAAAAACTGTGGACATGCTGGCTCAGCATCCTCAGGACCAAGCTATTGCTTAATTTTAATTTATTGTTTTTTTTTTACTAATCCAGATGAAAAGTTAACGGGGTTCTAGGATGGCCTGGGCCCAAAGGTTCTTGGCAGTTTGTTAGCAGCCCCAGGCTTAATGTGGGAAGGGGTTAAGCCACAGTTCCATCATTCCGTGGAGTGTGTGTGCCTCAGCCAACCCCGCGTGGAAGGGCCAGGGCTGGGTCAGTGCACACCTTACCGCCCTCCTGTCCCTCCAGCTCTGTTTATATCTGAATTGTGAACTGTGCAGAAGAACCTTCAACCATAGTTATTTGACTGTATCTTGACTGAGGGCTTGCAGTGCAAAGCCAGGCCAGTGTCACACATTACTTTCAATAAAAGGGATCATTTATACTAGAGGCATCCTGTGGCCATGCTTTTGGTTGGGGTTACAGGTATGTGGGAGGGGCTAGGTGTGGTACCTAGCAAAAAGCTTGGGCCCCTCAGCTAAAGGAGTCCTGGGATTCTTGGGTTGAGTATTGCCGTCATCCCACAGCACTCAGCCCCCTTCCTCCCTTTCCCTGCCACAAGCACCATACAGCGTGGTAGGTACATTGGGGGTCATTTACTAAGGTAGCATTGTTGGTGCTCCTGACCTGGACATCACCTGGATGCCCTGGATTCCTGCAGTATGTGGCACCCAGTAGGGTCTTCAGCCCATCCTTGCAGGTGAGTACTCAGAAGCCACCTCTCCAGCATGTCCCTTGACCCACCTAAAGGGAGATTCTCGTTCCCATCACTGACCTGTGATACAGGAAGCTGGGTCTGCTCTGAGGTTCTTCTCCACCGAGGACCTAGGCCTTGAGTGCCTTCTCTGCCTCTGCAAGGAGCAGTGCCTCCCTCAACAGCACTGTGGCTCACCTGACACCAGGGCTTGAGGCCCAGTTTTCTGGGTAGGAATTACCAAGGAACTTAAGTTGTATAGGGTGGTGGCAGCAGAGCCTCCAGGGGTCTATTATTTTGTTCCCCCAGCTCATGTATCCCGCAAGCTCTTTGGGAAAATCAAGCCAGTGGTTCTGGGACAGGACAACCCAGACTTCTGTTTTTACATGGTGGTGGTGGGGTCAGTCTAAGCTTGTCTTGTTTGCTGTAAATTACAGTTCCTCTGTGTGCCTGTGCTCTCAGGACAGAAAGTCAACCCCAGATTTTGGAAAGGCACTAGAAAGATGTAGCAATAAGGGAGAACGGGGATTAAAAGGTAGCAGTCACTAAAATCTTCAATGGCACTACAGGTTCCCACCATTCTTGCAGATTTCCAGGGCACAGGGCGAGTACCAGCTCGAAGCTGAGGGGCACAGTGAGTTTCCATTACAGTTGCAGGGTACAGTGCCTTGTCCGAGTGGAAGAGCACCCCCCCCCCTTTTAAAACTGGCTAGTATTTCTGACATCCATTGACCCTCCCACCAAGGCCAAGAGTGCTCTGGGCTCTGTTCCCCCTTCTCCTTCATAGGGTGAGTCTGCATCTTTTCTACCACAAAACCCCACTTTAGGCCACATAATAACAGAGTCAGCATCTATTTAAACATGTTTAAAATGGGGTTCATCACAACAGAGGGGCAGGAATAAAAGGGGAGCATGGAAGCTGCCCACCCAGCAGGTCTCAGGCTCTCACCCTGGCAGAGGCTTCTAACTTCCTGGTGCAAGAGGGTCCCAAACCCCCAAAAGGCAGGTTCTGCCTTGTCTCGCCACTTCCCCATCCCCTCCCCTGCTTCTGCAGAAGTGGCAACCACGAGGCCCAGCAGGTGGCGCACTCGCTCTCCTTCCTCCAGTTCCCTGTAGCTTGGGTCCAGGTTAAGGGCAGAGGTAGATGGGGAGACTTGGGGGCTGCACACAGCCCAGGTGGCAGTGAGGGCGCTTGGGACCCTGAGGGGGAACATGCTGACTCCTTGCTGGAGAAAAGGCACCTAGTTAGGGAAACATTTGGGGGCCTTCCAGGGGGGGGGTGTGAGGTGGGGTGGGGTAGGCTGAAAGAAGCAGGTGAGCAAACGCCAGTCCTTGCTCCCACACCCCTACCCACCGAGGGAGAAGGAAAGAATCCTGGAGCAGAGCCCTGCACCTGGAATCTTCTGCCTGAGGAGCTGTGCCCCCTTCTACCCTGCCAGCCCAGCCAAGCCTACAATCAACCTCTTTGCCACCCTTCCAAAGGCCCAGTTCTAGGCCCTCTGCAGAGGGAGCAGAAGATTACAGGGTGTCTCAGGCTGTCTTGGTGCTAGGGTCCACTTCCTTGTGGGTCCAGAGCTCCTTGTGCTGCTTGCGTCCGAAACCCTCATCGTAGTTGCCTTTGCTCTTAAACAGCTGCTGGAAGTGGGGTTTGCAGTAAAACTCGCCGTGCAGAGCTGCGTAGCTGCCCAGGCTGCGGAAGTAGAACAACCAGGTCAGGCCGGGTCAGGGCTGAAAGTCAGGGGCCAGTCAGGCAGGGCAGGGTCGCACCTCAGCTTGGTGTGGCAGTGCTTGCAGCAGAAGCAAGAGTTGTGAAAAACGAGCTTGTCGGCCACCAGCCGCTCCATGGGGTACACAGTCTTCTGGCAGGCGGTGCAGGTCTCCTTCACCTGGGCCCGAAGGCTGAAAGACTGTAGGGGGACACTCAGCCAAGGGCCTGGCCATCACCTACCCTTTCCTCCACCCACAGCTACCCAGAGGACCCTACCTTGGAGCGCTGCACAGTGCTGCTGCCACCACCGCCTTTGGCTTCCTGAGGGAGAGGGACAATAAGTGCAGGGGTGACTCTGGAGTGGCCTTCCCAGATCCCAGGCCACTCAAGAGGGGGCAAAAGGTGCTGGACAAACAGGCCGCTCCTCTCCCTTCATCCTTCCCACTCGGATGGTCACCTACATGAGAGGGGGTGGTCTGGGCGGCTCCTGCAGCCTGGAACATGGCTCTTCAAAAGTGATGGAGGCCCTGGGCTGAGACGCGGCACCCGCTGGGTTCTGCAAGGGGAAGTCGTTTGGTAGGGCCCCATGAGCCCTTCCCCCAGCCTGCAGGGTGGGGTGTTTACAGAAAAGGGGCTGGGGGGCTGTGGTTGGGACTTTCCCTAAGTCATTTCCTGTTGCTCTTGGTTTTGCCACTTCCGCCCCTCACCCATTCCTTCGCCGCCCCTCTGCCCCCCACTCCCCAGTCCCCACGACTCCCCCTCCTGGGTCAAGGTCCCTGTGTTGGAACCATGTGTGGAAGAACAAAGTTAGCGGTGAAAAACTGTAGATGCGGGTTCTGAGTGCGCCTTGCGGGAGACTCCTCCTGGGGTGAAGGGGTCAGCCGAGGGCGGGGCCAAGAGTGCCAGGGCGAGAACCCGTTGCCCCAGCTTGAACCGTGCCGCGCACTGCCCAGTGCCGGGCCCATGCGCGCAGTCCTGGACAGCGCTCGGCCTGGCCGCCTGCCCACCAGGCCGCTCCCCCGCCCGCGGCCAGCTCCTCGGCCAGAGGACCTGCGGGAACCCGACCCCTAGACCCCGCGTCCCCGAGGGCCCGCCCCTGAAGGGCGGATGTGATCCTCGGGCCCCAGGAAAGAACAACGCGCGGAACCGCCGGGCGTCTGCGCCCCTCGCCCCCCATCTCGGTGCTCAGGCTCGCGCGCTGGATGCAGACCCTCCCCGGCTGGCCGCAGGTCTCACCGGGCCCCGGCCTGGGCCGTGGGGGCGGGGGTCAGTCTCAGGGGCCGCCTCGGGTGCGAGGAGGGAGCGGGGCCGAGCTTCCGCCGCCGCCAGTGGTCCCCGAGCGGCCACCACCACCGCCGCCTTATGCCGGCGCCGCCCCGCCGGCCCCCGCCCCGCGCCCGCCCATTGGCTCCGTCGCGCCGGAGCCGCCTCCGGGGCCCCGCTGCCGCCGCCGACCGCCCTCCGTGCTTTGTCTTTCCGTGGTTCTCCGTCCCCCGCCTTTGTCTGCCCCCCGCGCCCACATCGCGCTCCCGGGCCCGCACCAGCCCCGGCTCCGTGCCGCTGGTCGCCAGGGTCTGTCCCGTCTGCCTTCTCCCCAAGGCTCCAGGTGCCAGGCACCCGCGCGCGGAGAGGGGATCAGTGATAGCGGGGACAGGAGCCCAAAGGCCCTCACAGCATACCTCGCGCGGGGACAAGTTCAGGCTGTGACCGCACCGCCTCTCCGAATCATGCCTAGGCCTTTCGCTGCCTCGGTTTCCCCTGTTGGCTCTTGTAGACACAGGGCCTGACGGCCCAAGTACTGCCTAGCCCTGTAGGCTGAGACCCTGCTGGCCGACCCGGGAGGCAGGCCAGAGCCCACACCCGGTATGACCCCCGAACCCCAACGGGCCGCGAAGTCCTCCAGCCGCCAGGGGCCGCCCCCACGCACGCGGGGCCCGCCGAGGAAGATGGCAGCAGCACGAGGTCTGGCCAAGTCCGTCGGCGAGGCTGCGAGGTCCCGGTCGGGCCAGCCGCGAGCTGCAGGGAGGGCCTGGGTAGCCCGCCTGACCAGGGGGTCCGATGGGCCCCATCCCAGTGAGCTTCCCGGGGCACATACTCTCCTGGGGCCCCACGTACAGAGCGTTTCAGCGGCTTGATTTTGTGGGACTGCTTGCTAATCGTGGCCCTGAGGAAAGCTGGGGTACATCCTCAGGATAGGGTTTGTCAGCCCTCAAGCTAGCAAATCTAAGGCACCCAAACCTCGTCCCCAAATGAGACACTAGGCCTGAAGACTTTGTGACTTGTTCCAGAGAACGGAAATGGCTCAGCAGCAAGGCGCTCTGCCGCCGCCCTAGTCCCAGTGCACAGCAGGGCTCCGGCGATGCCCACCGGAGTGTGTAGCCTCAGCTGTGTTGCGGAAACACAGGGCAGCTCTGAACAGGCTCCTGCGCGGCAGCCTGAGGCTTCTGGGTTCCAGCAACTGGCTTTGCCAGAGGCCAGGCTGGAGGTTGTTCCGGGAAGCACAGCCTCAGTGTTCCCACACTGTGGCAGGAATAGAACTGGCAGCACCTGAGTGCATCCGCGCGTTTTTAAGGGAAAAGAAGAGTTCCACACCTGCTAGGCTGCAGGCAGCCCAACACCCAGCCGCTTCCCGGGCCCACAGTGGGTACCCATGCTGAGCTTCACTTTTTTCCTTCAATCTTTGGTTTGCTCTGAAGGAAGAGGCGTGTGTCTGTCTGTGTTGCTTAGGGGGAGATGGGGACCCTGAGGACTCCCTGATGGGCACTTAAGAACTCTATAACTGCATGTGTCTCCCATGAGACACACTTAAATTCTCCAAGGGGGCCGTTTGATGCAAGAAAGAAAGCCCAGGAGGTTACCCAAACAGGCTCCCAGAGCCCCGCTGGTCAGGGCTGGGGGTCAGGCCTGAGGCCCCTGCCTTGCTCAGCAGGCAAGGCCATCTGTAGGCGCTGAGCTGTAGTTGGTGACCACAGAATCAGCAGTTCTGAGGGAAACGTGGCCGATAAAGTGATGCAGTGTTGAGAAACAGGAGCTTCAGCCTAGTACGGTGACACACAATTACAGTCCCAAGCTACTGGATAGGGGAAATTGAGGCAAGAGTCTCTCTTGAACACAGGAGTTTGAGACCAGTCTGGATGGGCAATATAGTGAGACTCTGAGTACGCCCATTAATTAAAAAGAAAAGTAGCAAGGAGCTGGCTGGAAACGTTTAACTGGGTACTCTCATCCCTTCAGGTCCCTATCTCTACTGATAGTGGATGTCATGCCCTTCACCTCCCTCCCAGTAATTGCTCAAAGGAAGAGACTTTTAAGTTTTTTATCTTTAACCTGTTGTTAAAATTTCCATGGAAATGGCCAGGGCATTTGTTGGTTCATACTAGCCTCAGGAAGAAGGGAGGGGCACTTCCTTTATCTGACACTTCAAATGCCTGGGGCCACAGCCAGCAGAGCCCACACCTCAAGGAACTGCCAAGGCCTACAGCCTTGGCCAGAACTGTGCATGCACAAAACAAGCATCAGAACAGAATATGCTTGCGAAATACCAGAGGGGACTGCGTTAGTGCAGCCCCTGTGCTCCCACTCACTGGCTGCCAGCACCAGTGATGGGAGCAGGCAGCTGTTGGGTCTAAGCTTAACTTGCTTTTTGGGTATCAATACCAATGGTAAAGAGACTCTCCAGGTTATGTGACAAAACTCTTCCACCCTTTTCTGCCGAAACTCAGCATCTTCTGCCCTGACTCACAGTGGCTCAAAGTGGTCCTACAGAGTAGCCAATTTTGGCACCCAGATCCTTCTAGTCTCAAATAGTTTGATGGCCACAGGCAAAAATTAGTACAGTTGTTTTGAAATTTTAGGTGATGAACAGATCATCTCTTTTTATCAATTTTTTAAACTTTTTTTTCCGGTACCAGGGATCAAACTCACGACCACCTGCTTGCAAGGCAGGTGCTTATGCTAAATCTCCAGCCCCAACAGATCATCTCTTATAGGTCTTAAAAAAAAAAACTTGGGGTGTGGTGGTGTCATTCTAGGGCTTAGGAGGCTGACATAGGAGGATCACTGTGAGTTCAAAGCCAGGTTGAACTACATAGTACATTCAGATCCAGCCTAAATTACAAAGTGAACCCCTGTCTCAAAACCTGTTATGTCTCATCTAGTAAAAGGTCACTGCTGTGCTTCCTGTGGGCCCCCTTATGGGGGTCAGAACCCAGGGTGCAATGATCCAAGTATTACCCTTTGCGGCCTCTTTTGAAAACATACGAAGAAGCAGGCCTGCAATCTCTGTGCACATGCACACACACACCAATGCCATTCTCCACACATTTTAATTTGTTCTGATAATGAAACTAACAGCATAAGGACTGAAGCTCTTGGGTGACACAAGACATTATAGTCCTTGGAGAAACACCAAGACAGGTGGCAAGTGGTATGAAGATAGACTCTCAGGAAAGAGTTGAGCTACACAGATGCGCTACAGGAAGGTCTTAGGTGTCTGGGTCCCAGCGATATGAGAGGTAAGGTTGGACTGTCCTAGCTTTAACCTGGTGCTTGAAAGAAATACGTTCCTCTTCAATTATTAGGAAGAGGCCTGAGGGCAATGGAGGCAGGTTGCTTTGAACTTGCCCTTTCACGGACCTATCCCAACGGAATTCCACTGGCAGGAGAGCAACTGGTAGGAAGAAGAGGTGACAATTCCTTGGGTTGATGAGTCAAACCCTGGGCTTGACTTCATTCCCAGGGCCAGCACAGCATGTCTTCCTTCTGATGAGGTCACCTCAGCTCTCTGGGTGGGGCGTGTCAGCTTACTGAATCCTCGAAATCCTGTGAGTCCTTATGTCTTAAAAATCACAGAGCAGTGAAGACATCTCTCCCAGAATGTCCTTCCCGTGAGCCAGCAAGCAGCTCTGCTGGCAAGGTCCTTGCTACCCATTTGGCAGCCAGGAGGTTGGGAATGTGCCAGCCGATGCCGAGCTGGAGAACATGCCTGGTCTGCAGAGGCTCAGAATTCCCAGTCATCCACCTCCAGCTCTTCCAGGTTTGTTACCAAGCCAAAGATCCCACTGTGATCCTGAGACTGGCTGCTTTCAAAATTGGTGATTGGGGTGACAGGACGAAGCAATTCAGGCAAAGCTTCTGAGGCGCGTCGCTTGATCTGTGGAAGGACAGAGTTGAGTGGTGAAATAGACTATAGAACTGAAGATAATAAAGAGGAAGAAGTAGAATTTGGGGGCTTTATTTCTCTAATTCAAAAACAGCAGGAGAAAATACCTAAAGACCCCATAGTTACAGGGCTGAGGGAACTCAGGCAACTAGACCCACAGGCAAGAAGACACAAGGAGCCAGGGGAGACTGTCTTATACCTGTCTGAAGAAGGAGTGGCTCAGAAGGGCGCTGGCACTTGGCCTGGAGAGAAAGGGGAAGAGAGCCACATCACCCGGTACCCACTTCCCAACCCTGCCTCTCATCTCTTCTTCAGCTCGCCAATACTGGGTTCTTAGCTAACCCACGAACTGACGACCTCTTTTGCTGCGGAGCCGCACTTTCCTCCTCGGAACCCTTACAGAGCCTTACAGACCCTTACAGAGCCTTTGAGAAGCACAAGCCCTCACACCCTGGCCCAACTCTGCAACTTCCTCTCCTCTTGCTGCTCCCCAGAGCCCAGCCCCATGCCAGCAGCATACCTTGCATCTGGGTTACGCTGAAGGCACTGCTCCACAAAATGGTGGAAGTGTGGGGAGAAGGTTCGGTGATAGGGGTGGGAAGGCGAGTCACCATTGGAAGACCGTGGGATGCCGGTGGCCAGGCTCTCACCCAGGCCAGAGTTGGCTGCTGAACGTGAGGGGCTCATGGTCAGCTCCTCGACAGGGATGGTGCTGGTGTCTAACAGGCACGGTACTGTGCCATTCAGCTTCTCCAGCAGCATCTGGGGAGGAGAGTCAGGGTCTGAGCTGGAAGGGGTCCCAAGGCCTAAGGGGCCTCTTTAGAAATATGATCTGCCTATAAATGAGATCTTTTGGGAGAAAAGACGGAAGCTGAATCAAGCTAACTTTTCTAAAGGAACGCTGGCCACTGGCTTCGCAGCTTCCCCCTGGCTAGGCCAATAGAGGAAAGAGGAAGACAGGAAAGATTGTGAGAACCCTTCACTGTGGCTGGAGGAAGGGCCCACAGTTTCCTCTCCCCACTAACTCGTTCAGCCCTTACCCTAAGGTGGAGGGAACAATCCAGTCACTTTCCTTGAAGCCCAGCCCCCAGGCTGCCATATACATGTGGGCCCAATGAGTTCACAATGTAATACCTGTAGTGCCTCATCCTGGGGTATCACAAAAAAAGGCCGCGTAGTGTACCCAGGATCTTGCCAGGTGTGGGCAGCTGTTATGAAGCTCTCAAAACGTACATGTGAACCCAACCCCACTCTGAATACTGCTATCTTCATGGGCATTTTCATGAACTTAATGAGCTGTTCAAGCCAAAAATACAGAAATTTCTCTAAGGCAGCACTAACTATGTGTGGCTCTTTATATTTAAATTAAATCAAGTTTAAAACTCGGTCCCTCAGTCTCACTGAAATATTTTAAATGCTTAATGCCTATAGGTAGCTATTGGTTGCCATACTAGTCAGCAAAGGTATAGACATTTCATCACTGTACAAAGTTCTGGATGGTGCTACTTCTAGATCTAAGGCTTTTGCACCCAAAATAAATTTTGTTTTTGATTTTTTATGGTACTGGGGATCTAATTCAGTGCCTCTCATATTCTAGGCAAGCACTCTGCCACTGAGCTATATCCCTAGCCCCCTAAATAACCTTTTAATTTTTTCCTGAGCATTCTATTTTTTTCTATACATTCTTCAGTTACTGAATTATATTTATTAGCTTTCCTGATACCTTACCT